AGAATCTTTGATTCCAGCACACTTATAAAGTTTCTAGAAGGTGCTGGGTGCTAGAGAAGCAAGAGGGTATGTGGTCTGTGTCTCCAAAAACCTCATTATATGCAGTGAATTGAGCAGTATATCCCCCAAATTCAGGTCCACGTGGAACTTCAGATTGTAACTGATTTGGAAATAGAGTCTTTGTAGATATAGTTCAGGTAAGGAATAAGAGATTTCTTTGATCTCATTAACCCACCCACTGGCAGTTAATTAGGGAGGGTGCTACACCTAATGACAGTATAAGAGACAGAGGAGGAATGGCTCAATGAGTAAAGGTGATTGTCACACAAATTCAGTCCTTGGAACTCAGGACAGAAGGGGGACAGGAGTTTCTGTCCTCCATATTCATGCCATGTGTGTGCAAACACACACACACACACACACACACACACAGCTAAAAGTAAAAAGGAATAAGGAGACAGATGAAACACAGCAGCACACAGCCATTCGGGAAGGTTTTCAAGCCTCTACCAGAAGTTATGAGGTAGGCATGGCAGGGTTTCTCCTTTGAATCCTCCAGAAGGAATCCATCCTGTCAATGCCTTGATGTCAGTTTCTAGCCTCCAAATCTAAAGGTGGATTCATTGCTATCATTTTAAGCTACATAGTGATACTTTATAGGCTATATAACTATCTTTATCTTGTAGGACTGAGGCTGCTCTGAAGTTTAAAATTCATAGAAGCTTAGACCACTCCTAAGTCATAGAACAGGTAGAGCTGTGACTCATGTCCATTTCAACACACTTGGATTTCAAGTCTTCTCCTTGGCAAAAATCCTACTCCCACTAACATCAATCATCTACAGAAAGGAGAATAATTCAGAAATTTCCCCAAAGTTCTATGTGCATGCTGGTCCATAGCATCCTCCACTCAGCTAATGAGATGCTCTTTGCTCCTTCTCTGGGTAAAGAAAATCTAGAGTTCCCTCACTAGCCAAGAGTCCTACATTTCTGGAGCTGGGGAAGAGGAAGGAGGAGGGACTACAGGAACAATAAGTCAGGGCGGCTGATTGGAGCTGTTTTCAGCAGGTGGAGAATTCCTAAGTAAGTAGGGCTGGGGAGGGAGTCAATAATGTACATTTCTAGTAAGTTCCTAGTGCTGCTGGACCTGGCCACACTTGGAGTGTCACAGAGTGCAGGGAGAGGATAATACTTGTAGGACCTACTATTAAAACTTCACCCCAGAAACACTCCAGGAACACATCCCAACTACTTGGGAGGTTAAGGCAAGCAGGTGTATGTTCGAGGACTTCCTGGACTACAGAACGAGTTCAAAACCTGGCTTAGCTATGGATCAGGTTCTAAGCCAGCCGAGCCAACTTAAAGTGGTTCTGTCTCAAAATAAAATAAAATAATTTAAAGGGCTGAGGACAGAGCTCTGTGGTAGAATGTGTGCATACTTTATATGCACAAAACCTTATGTTAAACCCCCAGTACTGGGAGAAAAAATAAGAAACATGAAAAACTTTCACAATTATTATTCATCGTGCCGGATGCAAAGTCATCCTTGGTGACAGAAAGTCCCAAAGCAGACATGTTAAAGGAGAGTCACTGGAAGACAGACAAAAGGACTTCTGGGATGCTTTTAGTTTTCCATTTCTTGATCCAATTAGTGGTTACATGCATATATTCACTTTGCAGGAATATATTCAGAGGCTGGGCATGGTGAAGCACATCTATAATCCTAGAACTAAAGATGCTGAGACAGGAAGATTGCAAGTTCAAAGCCAACCTGGGATTGCAAGACCCTGAGTCAAAAGAAGGAAAGGAAGGAAGAGAGGAAGGGAGGGAGGAGGGAAAAGAAAAACAATCAGTTTGTGCATCTGCAATCTGCATACTTTTCTGAGTGTTATACTTTTTTGAAGTTTATTTGCATTTAATAGTAATGATAAATGCTGTCAAAACCTAGAAGAATGGGCCTCCACATCACAGACTGTCCCTCTGCCCACGTCTGCTTTCTCCTAGGGCATGTTGGCTAGCTATTAAACAGAACATTTCACACCTGTTCATTCCTTTTCCTTATGGCATCTGTGTGTGTGTGTGTGTGTGTGTGTGTGTGTGTGTGTGTGTGTGTAAG